GGCTGCTGTTGCATCGGGGCAGCTTCCTGTGGACGGTATTGCGGCGGCATCGAAGCGTCCATGGGCGGAAGTTGGACATTGCTGCGGATTGACGACAATCCCGCGCCTGCCATGGGGTTGAACATAGGCTGCTGGTTCATCATGTGATGCTCGCGAGCAGTGTTCATCGGATGGGCGGACTGGGGGTGGAGATTCATCGAAGTGGGTTTGGCGTAGCACAGATACTGCGAGTACTGTTCAATGAACTCATTGCCGCTTTGGTGGTAGCGAGGAAGAAATCCTGCGTGACCAACCGGGTAGAATGATGGGTCTTCCATACGACCACCGTTGACATGGGGAGGTGTAGGCAGGCCATGATGGCCTGGGACGAAGAAAGACGGCATCTTGAGAAGAGGGAGGACGAGGCGACCAGTTCAGGACGGGGAGCTAGACGTATTCTATTGCCAGGGAAGGCGAGAAATTAGTATATAAGGCCTCCGGAGTAGGCAAACGCCCGATGAACCGAGAGACGAGAATTAAAGAAACAAGAAGACGAACCGTCTACTCCACCAGATCCTGATCCTGGGGGGAGGGAAGGAAGAGGAGAAGAGCGGTGCTCGGCGAGCGGATCGCTCTGTCGTATTCCTAGGAGGCAGTCTCTAGTCGAATGACATTGAGGTGCGTTCAATGATCCAACGGACAAATGACGGGTAAATGAGAATTGGAAAGAGCGTGGTGAGTGGATGAACGAGACACAGTTCTCGCTTGGAGTGTCAAAATGACGCAGCGTGGGAGAGAGGGTGGTTGATCACAATCCAGTCAATTCAAAGTGCTTTGAGAGGTGAATAGCCAGGTCGAAGCGAAGCGGAAGAGCCCACGTAGAGTGATCTGAACGCGCTGGGAGAACGAAGAACACCGGTGGACGAAAAAAAAATTTCCCCACACGTAGACACAAACCTCACAGAATGAGGTGATCAACGACACTTAGTGAAAAGCTCGTTGACACAGGGGAAGGTTGATACGGAAAAGAGGTTGAGAAGAAGGATGAAGAGAAGAAAAGTGTATAGGGGCGTTGTGTGGGAAAAGGCCATTGGGTTGCCCCGGTAATTTTACATGTATTTGGTATACAGAGAAGGAGTCACTTGGTCCAGAAATTCTAAATTTAAAAGAGATGTGTTTCGCACCTCATGTCTCTTCTTAGTATCATTTTAATAAAAGGCTTCATACGGAATACCATGTAGTTATTGGGGTTTTACTGCAGTTCTGACTGGGCCTTCTTGATTCTCTTTTCTTTTCACTTCCAATCTATCCGGTGTTTCCCATGAGAGTTTGGAACGTGCACCAGATATATGTTGTAGTGTAATTGTACTGTAAGGTTTGGAGAGTAAAGAAAAAAGGGCCCCAGACCCTCAAGGCAAATCCGGTGATGCAACACCCGTGTCACTGGTTCTCACTGATTCTCACTGGTTCTCACTTTGTCTTGCGTTGGCAGAAAAAAAAAAAACTAAAAACTAAAAAAAAAGGTTGCTCCACTTGGAATACTCTTTTGGGGCTCTTAGTAAGCTCACTCATATTTCAAATTGACTTTTAACGGATGAAGTAGTGAATAGTGAAAGTTAATAGTGGTCATGAAACAGATATTAGACGATCCTATGTGAAATTGCCATGATGAGATGTATAGAAATACACTGGAAACATCGAATGTCGCATTCCCTCCGTTGCTCAGTCTACAAAACCACCCCCCTACGTAGTGCTACCTGCGGAAGTGTTCATCCGGACTATTCCATACCCACTCCCCATGAACAATTGTACTCCGTACGCCAAATATGTACTACGGAGTATGGAGCACACACACAGTAGGCACTATAGTTATACTAACATCCTTACAGCTGTCGCCGGGTCATTTACTCTCTACTATCCCTTGATGTGTAATCACACACGTCCATTACCCCGTACAACCAAGCAAGGGCAACCGAGATCATGCATCTACAACATAACAAGCACTTCATCCAGTGCTCTCCCTGTCTCTTCTCTCTGGTCTCTGACATGTCAGACACAGTTCAACTGGCCACCTAGGGAGGGGGGCTCTGACTCACCGTAGACAACTCCACCCTCCACGAAGGACCTGGGTGTTGATCCTTGCAGTCTAGTCTGCATCCTAATCCGGAGTAGCGTCACGATACATCGCCAAGTGTACTCCATACATTTTACCTACTCCTGAAGGCAAAGACAGGTGACTGGACAGGCATTTATTGGAGCCGCCGACAACCTCTCCAAACTTAGAAGGCGCATTCATATTTAGCCAAAAAAAGGCACCCCCTTGGTCTTGAACTTGTGTCTCCGAGAGGGGCCTGGAAATGCATTATTAATGTTTAAATACTTAAAATACTTAAATATCATAGGCACCGAAGACCGTGCGCACGACCGAATTATAGAAAAAAAAACAAAAAAAACCAAGTCCCTCGCGCCTTGCCATGCTCCATTTTCAATGCAGTTCCTCCGATTCTTTCAAGGTACCACAACCTATAGTCACAGGTAGCAACTGCCTTAGTACCTTGCACTATGGATGCGATGGTTTTAGTCACCATAGTCAATAAATTTACGAAGAACTGAACCTATAGAACCAAAAAAAAAGAAACCCCCCCCCCCCCCCCAAAAAAAAACCCCAAGCTAGCAGGACCAACGATGCCCGACCGGCTACACTCGGCAGCCTATTCCCTGAAACACAACACATCTCCTTATTCCCTAGCTGCACTGTGTGATTCGAGTGCAACAGTAGGAAAATTCCAAACTGTTACGATCCTCCTTAACCCCCATTTATTAAGGGAATATTGGAAAAAATAGGCGGCAAAACACTTTTCCTTTCCTCTGAGAGCGGGAAGGCGGCGAAGAAGAGGACACAGCATTGATAGGTTCATGGCCCCGGGATAGCCATCGTCACGGTCGTTGTTTCTGGTTTTCACTATTCCTGGGTTGGGTTGTTTTTCCATGTGCCGATTATTGTATATCTAAAATTGAAGTATGGGGGACGGGTCTGCCAACGTGATTGGGTATTCTACCCAGTTCAGCGTTTGTGCTTTTACATCAGATGTCCAGGTCATACCTGGATCAAGAACTAACTAGGAGTCGCAAATTGGAGCATTCCACACACTGCCTTTAATGGGCTGTGATATGCCCACTAAAAGAAGATAATTTTGGCAGGCAACTTAATCGATAGACGCAAGATACCAGCCTTTCGGCAAAAGCAGGGGGAAATCAGTACTCTTTCCAAATCGGTTGCGTAAGAAGATATCTGGATTTCGACAGAAAATGGCTGTGTACACTGACGTGGAGAATTTTTCGTACCTTTGTTTGGGGCCTTGACAACTCAATTATATAGTACTAGATGTGCTCTGTGACAAGAAAACTGAGCTGTTTATGCGGACTTGTGGTGTCTTTCTGTATGTCTTGTTGGCTGTTTTTCTTCAGATGTGAAGGCGGTTAAACGCATCCTTTGTGCAAGGCACCTTTCCATGTATAACTAAACTAGAATGGATATTGATTGACTTTAGACGTGATCATCTAGAAGCACAGGAGCAGACAGGACGCTGGAAACAGTCAAGGCCGAAACGTGAGAAACACCAGTCTCACCAACAACAAACACCTCCTTCGGCGGAAGTGGTGCCTATGGCGATGGTGACAGAATGTATAGTCGAGGTGTTTGTCTCATTACTAACAACAGCAGTTGTTGTCTGCACAGGGACGGACGATGTGTGCACTGCGCCAGGTGCTGTGGTAGACAAGGCGGTATCGATCAAGACTGAAATGGTACCGGCAACGACGGTCTCGGCCGTGACATATGTTGTCTGGTCGCGGGTTAGGTAGTCAGTCACTGTGGCTGGGCACGGGGTTAGAGTTACGGTTCTGGTTGAGAGGATTGTTGGGATTTGTTCTCAGAGCCACAACCAGAGAGCGGAGTTGAAGAGGAAGTGGGTTGAGCGGGCGCGGTGATATTGAGTACAGCGGCCAGAAGAAGGTGGACATAGGCCACATCAAATGGCTTTGGATCATCGTTGTTGCATAGAATCTAGCAAATTCGTACAAATGGCCAGGTGAGTAAACACCACCAAGAATCAAAGAACAAACTTAATTATAAATGAGCTAGAGGACATTGCGTTCTTTGAGGCCAGATCTCTCTAGATTTTACATGGTAGTCTACCCCAAGTCCCCCGAAACACCAAGTGTTGGAAAGTAAGATGCGCTGTGGTTGAAACCTTTGTGGCCATGGCATGTGGCGGTGGCGCTCTACTCAAAAGGTCACCCTGGAAGAGCTGACAATTTGACGCGATGATTATCTTAGTTAAGACACAGTGATTGGATCCTACTTTGAAGGATCAAGTATGCGTCAAATGAGCGCCTAGAGTGGAGAGATTGAAGGTTCGTGTCATTCTTCCACTAGGGCTTGGGGGCCCTTATTGCTCACTTCACATTCCTCAAATCACAGGAAATTTATGAAATGACTGGCATCAACTGGTTCAATGAAGAGATCAGGGAGATACTCGGGCTGTCTGGCCAAGTTTGGTTGTCCCCTTCGATCGGTGCGATACTTCGTGTTTCCTAAACTTGCATAATCTTTCAAAAGTCTGGTCTATTCTTGAGAATGTGCGCTATGGCTGATTGGTAACCCAGAAATCCAACACATGCCGAGAGTATTAACTTAACAGCATTGCAGAAGAAGAAGACAGGGGAAATTCGACACCTCTTGAGTTATAGGCTCGATGACAGCCCAATAGTCCCTTTCTATGCCATCCAGCCCCAACACCCCGAAGACGCAAGCAGGTCGGATAGAGAGCGAATGAAAACGAACGCTTGATGTACCTGTGGTACACAATGCACCCGAATGACAAAAACCAAGATAAGAAATACTGATAGAAAAATATTAAAACTCCGAAGTCATCACATCATACATGTCATAGCTGCCTACGCAAAAGACGTGGGCAAGAAAACAAAAGAAAGATAAGAGAGACACATATTAACGGTCATCAAACAGTGCCGTATCGGCCGCGCTCTGCGCTCAACAGAGTTTGTCCCTCTGACGGGACCGCAGACACCCTTCGAGGCGAAGAAGATGGGATCCAGCCGCGCATCCAGCCATGAACTTGTCTCCAGCGGCCACGACCGCGCTTTGGGTCATCCTCATCGCCGCTGATAAAACTCTCATCATCCTCGCGGTCTGGGCCGTCGCCATACATGAGAAATTGGACGCCCATGAACCCGTCCAGTCCCAATACACCGAAGGCACCCAGGAAGAACGGAGTAGCGCGTCCGATCCATTCCAATCGGTCATTGCCGTGACTATCAGCCCAGCCGCCGCCACCGAATGGAGAGAAATCGTACCAAGCATTCGGGTTGGTGAGCAACGAGCTGGAGTAGAATAGATTCCCACAGAAGGCCGCCATGAAGAGCAGTGGGGAGAGACCTTCGGTGCTCTTGCGCTGGTAGTTCTTGTATAGCTGTGGGGGGCGCGAGCCGAGATACAAGATTGTTGACATCCAGGAGAAGATGCGGCCGACGATCTCGAAGATGGCCTCCCGCGGTACCTCAGAAATGGGAGGATGAGGCTTATCGGTGGGAGCAGCGTTGGCGAGGACAGCACAGAGGAGTGATGCCATGAGCATCGTCCGGGGCAGTGCAAATGGCAGGCTCTGCGCGCTGCTGCCCATCCTCACTGATCGACGAGAGGAGCTCAGTTTCTCTTTTGAGTATGAGGCTGCTTGCCCACGGGTCGAGTTGAGTGCTGACCCGGCATGGAAACCCACATCCTTGGAATCGGAGTACTTTCTGTCCATGTTGACGGGAGCCGGGGTCTGATGATCTAAGTCATCGCCTGGGGGAGGCACGCCTTGAATGACATCTCGAGGAGCCGAGCCATGCGAGTGTGACAGGCTGTTATATGAATCATTTTGGCGAGCTTTATAATGGGTATACCAGAAGAACTGGAATACCAGAGCAATGTCAACGAAGACGTAATAACTGGCAACCACGACCTGCCACCCTGCCTGCCGAGTGTATAATGCTCCAACGAGGTTGCTCGCATCACCAAGACACCAGATTACCAAGAAAAATATTGATAAGCCTGATGTTGATTGCACTTGGAAATTCTTATAAATCTGGGGTAATTGTGCGAAGAGCCACGAGACTATACTGAGGGTGCCAAGAACGGAGGAGATCGCGGCAAGAGGAGTGGGGATGCAGATGTGGAGATGCGAGGAGACGGCGGTCAGGAAGAGCGAGGTCGGTTCGCAGTGATCAGGAAGGGTCCCAGAAGGAAGGTAGTGTAATAACGGAGGAGACATGGTCTATCGATGGGGAAATCTTTGGTAGATATAGTGGCTTGGGACAGCCTCGAGTGTATGGAGAATCGTGGGCATCAAAGTTTGGGATAAGGGCGATAAGCGAACCCAAGGTGGAAGAGATTGATCGGAGAGAATGAATACTCTCGGTCTAATAGAGCTAGTAGAGCGAGTAAGTTTGGAAAGAGGAAGCAACAAGTGAACAAGAGCAAGAACTAGAGAGAACTACCCCTTGGGGGTCATTCTAAAGTGTCACGAGAGTGGAATCGCCTTATCGAGTTTGTCGGGGCCGATCGGATGACTCATGCGATAAGCATAGATGGGCGTATCAGGGCTTCTCTGGGCTTGGAACTGCAGGGTGCTGCATTTAGGTAACACAGGCTGTGTGGGCCATGATTAGTTGTCATAACGATGATCAGTCAAATGTTTAACAACAATAGACAGAGTATACACCAGACTCTTCCAAGATTTTACTTTATCCTATCAACAAATTTATTAGCACATCTTAGGGCCCTCTCTATAAGCCAAAAATGAGCAGCAGAAGAAAAATGTGAATATCTGAGTTCAAAACAAGCTCCATTTGCACCGTTGTGAAGGAAAAAAGGGTGGGAATGACATCACCACTGTTGCTTTCAGTTGATCCACTCGCCTATGAACGAATCCTGTGGCCCCACCTTACCTTAAGATATTCCAGCTAGCACTTTAAGAATTGCTTTAAGTTAGCCAAGTGAAGCCTGATAGGTCTTCTCCGCGGAGTGATTGGATCAGTCTGCAAAAGCGAATCTGGGGAATACAATTTGGAGCAGAGCTGCGTTCCTATAACACTAGCTTCCCCCCCCCCTCTCTCATCGTCACATCCAATGCCCCTTTTCGTCTTCTAGCATCTTTTGCAGAAACTTTGAATGCACTAGGATGAAGACATGTGTTTCTAACTTTGGCGATTGACCGGAGAAGTTGCTATATGTAGTCCCGAAATCGGATGTTGACTAAAAATTGATGATATAGCTCCAGCATGCTTAGACGTAGCCGGTGAGATGGTAAAGCCAGGCGCTTTCATTCAAATGTCACGTCCGTCGAGGTTCAATTCTCTCACACGAGTAGCGTTGTGGTCTTATTGCTAGAACCGCCCGTCATGAGCTAGACGGGCATAATTTGCCAGCCTAGACGGCTACGTGTGCTTGTGGCACCACGATGCAATGAACACCCTCACAAGTCACAAGTCTACACGATCAAGGGATGTGAAATCAATTCTGTTGCATAAGGGATTTGAACTCGTCGGTCATTCTTCTGTGAGTGCTTTCTTGGTCTATTTGGATCAGTCTGTTTGGGGGAATAGCCAAGGGCGGGTGTGGCACAGAGTAGTTGGCGCGTTATGTTTAATTTACCTCAAAAAGATCGTGTTTCGTTCCAGTTGGTTTTGTGCACCTGATAGAGTCTGTGGTCCCATCTCTCTTGTTTTTTACGGTCCTGTTGCCCTGCCATTCTTACTGTCAGCTACTCAATCATACCCAAGTGGTACGACCCCTCGGGTCATGTATCAAACCAACTGTGTCATGTGCTCCATTGCTCAATCATCATGCCACTCCACACTATTCAAATCACGCGGTTTTTTAAGTGATGCAATAAGACAAATCGACAGGCACGTGAACCCCGCAAAGACCATGAAGGCCTCTGGTTCAGATATGTCATTGGCCAATGGTGCCTGCGGTCGTACCATTCGTGGACAACCAGTCGACGTATGTAAAATGAATTACATCACCACCAGCATTCCCCGCATTCTGGGGTAATATAAAAGAGTAGACATCTCTTTATTGAACTCCAGGAATCACACTTTTCCAATTCATTTATCGCATCTACTTCCCCCGATTTCAATACGGACAATATGGACAAGTACAATTCTCAGTGGGTCTCGTTCCACATTCGGGACCACATCAAAGATGGCGAGATTCTAGTGCAGAACACTGTCATTGAAGGGTATTTATGATTCCAGGGATATACCAGCTTTCTACTAACACCCAGCAGCGGCGAGTTTGCCGACCCCAACGACCGCCGCAAGTCGCTCACTGAAGAGGAGATTGACGAAATCAAGATCTCTCCCGATGGCGTTGGTGAGATCGGTGCTAGGAGCCGTCGCGGTAGTGAGGGCCGCCTAGACTTATTTCACGACAATGACAAGATTTGCGAGCTCCACTGGGAAAATCGTGGTGGAAAGTTTGCCAACTTGGTTGAGGTGTTGGACAAGAGCGACAAGTACACCATCCAGCATGGAGGATGGAGTGCTGAGGCGGGTCCCTTGGGACACGTCTATGTCGATGTTATGGAGAAGAAGGAATAGTTACGCTCCACAGGCTGCACCAACTCCCTACTTAGGCGTTGAAGAGCGAAAAGCGATGCGGTCCGTGGAGCAAGAATGGCAATATTTGGCGGGGAAAGTTGGATGTATCATCAATACCGTAAACACACCCAAAAATACCAAAAACAATGCAAAACTATGAAAATCAGTGCCTTTCTTCCTTCCTTCCCTAATCCATAGATCACTCCTCAAGTTATTCAATGTTCATCATATGGAGCAGAAAAGCAATTTCAAAGAACAACCCGTGAAGCTACTCGATATTATCTGGGAAGACGACTTTGTTCCCAAACGCAAGCAACGTCTAATCGCCGAGGAAGTAGGTGTCTGGCTGGATATTGATTGGCTTGAGCTCTGGCCTCGTATGGCCATTTTGGAAACATTTCATAGACCAGAACAAAAGAATCAGCCCTTGAACAGGCAACCAAGAGTGCCTTCTACGAACCAGGCCTTATCTTTTCTCCAGGCGTGGACGATCAAATCTCTTCCTGACTTCACCACATCCTCAATTTGCTTTTGAGTGCCCCATCCAGGAACTCTACTTCCCCAGCAAACCAGGTGCACACCAACGTGGATCGCAGTTCGGAATGCCATTTCATCGTTAAGGGCCCCATATCCCTCCAAGAACCCTTGAATAATCCACACTCCACCATCCCTATTCCTGAATAGCTTGGTTTCGTACAGCTCAGCAATCATTTGACCCAAGTCTAACGCGCGGCTTCCAACCTGCGCCAGTTCCCAATCGACAATGAATACCGTCGTCTTATATGGATGGGTGAGAGGAGCGTTTGGAAGAAGAACACTAGAAAACATGTCAGTAACCTCGCTCAGTTTATAGAGTCTAAATCCAAGAGTTCATACTTTCCAGTCCAGAAGTCACCGTGAATCGCTCCATACTCATCATCATGGCTCTGTCGGTCAAGCTCTGCAGCAGCGAGATTACGAATCTTCTCGAAAACATCACGATCCCCCCCTAGAATACTGGGGAAATTTTCGATAGTGTCAAGCAGCATAGTGTAGTTCACCCAGAATTTCAGATCTTTCATGACTTTGTTCTCCCCAAGACGTTTTGTAGATTCGATTTGCTGTTTCTCGGCCGTCCAACGATGGAAAGATTTCAGCCAGCATCCAAGGGCGCCGCCCAAGGCTCGCCCTGAGGATTCGGACAAGTCATGAGAACACTTTGAGAGCAGGAAGTTCTTCAGGTCGATTGAATTTGGAAGGTCTTCGAACACCTGGGTATTTGTATCCCGATTGAAGTCCAATAGGTGCGGTGTTCTGACGCTTATTTCACCATTTGTGTACATTGCCAGGCCATCGAGAGCTTGAAGCATGGCTTCCTCGAAGTGCTAATTTGGGATCAGTATATTGTGTAGGAGGGTCATTCAATGGAGTGCAACTAACGCATCTTGTGACATCGATTTTGAAATCTGGGTTAGAGGCGGAATGATCTTTGGTGTGCTTAATGATGATGGTCTGTCCAGTTGAGGAAAGAGTACCTCGATAGACATAGTTGGCTGTGCCTCCAGACAGGCGTGTGAGCGAGGAGCATGCGAAGGGAGTGGGGGAAAGTTGCTGCTCAATTACATCCCGTGTTTGGTCCGGCTCATTGTTATTTGCGGCCATGGTGTCTGACTTCTTTGAGGTGAAGGTTGTTAAAGATCTCCATGGAGCATTTCCCTCTCCAGGACTAGAACGCGCTAGTACATTTACGGTCCCCGCGTTTACAGTGGAGACATTCAGACCCCATGTCCGATGATCTATTAATAGTTCACAAGCCAAAATAGGACTGGGAAAACATGCAGTATTTTTACCACTGGACCATATCAAAAGCCAGCCTAGTGGGGCTGTCTCCGTTCCGCTTCTTGTTTGACGATTTGGACTCTTTGAAACGCCTATGGATATTTTCACCGCCAAACGAAAGAGAATAGAACAGATTCTTCGTTGAAATGGATAGAGAAAAGAAATGTAGACGACACTAGATAGGAAAGCTACTACATACTAATAGGAGGATGAGGGAAATTAACATGTCATGAACGCCAATCGCAAGAAATCTCCTCTATATATGTTTACATTCGGAATTTAGTGACCACAGCTTGAAACTCTCATCATGTCTAGCCTACCGATGATATCACGTCGCCGTGACCAGGAGGACTAGAACATGGGTTGCTCACCTAGGTATTTTGTTTGCAAGTTAATGTGATTGACAATCTACGATCTCATTACACATAGTTGTCAAATTCGGTTAAAGATCATCAACTACCAGGAAGGTCTGAATTCTTGTCGTACGTGTCAAATAGAGTCTTTGTGGGAGAGCACACAAGGTGCTTATCCATTAGAGGCTTCTCATGACCAAAAACAAAGAGCGAACAGATATGCATCAAGATGAACGACATGTAAACCGTCTTGAGCAGAGGAAAACATTAAAAATATTACATGACGCAAGGCTAGAATAACAGTCATGGTGAAAGAAAGAGGGACACAAGGGAAACCCTAGACAAAAGAACACTGTTTGAAGTCAAGATCAACTTAAGTGTTCACCCTTATGGTGGTGCCTCGAATGGCTGGTGTGACGAGAACTATGAAAATGCCCGCTGTGATCGGTATGGCCGCTATGACTACTCTGACTCGAATGGCTCCGATGGCTATAGTGGTGGTGATGGTGATGGCGGCGACGGTGATGATGATCATCGTGATCATTCTCATGTTCGCTAACATCGTCATGCTTTTTGAGATCCTTCACTTTGTCCTCCAGAAAGTTCCCGAGGAGAGCACCACCAATCGCACCTAGCAAGCCATGTTCCTTCTCATGACCGAGATAATAGCCCGCCACGCCGCCAGCGAGCGAACCCCCGAGCCCACGGTCCATGCCCCAGTCAGTGTCAGTGTCTGTATTGGAGTGCTGTTTGCCACTGTGTTGTGAATCTTCTGGCTCTGATACATAAACAGCGGGGGGGGTGGGGACTTGCGGAAGGTGTGTAACGTGGTTGGTCTGCCGAATGATCATTGCTACAGGTCAGTGTTATTGTTGGTTCTCACAGCCAGGCATGTGCCACCCACTCACTAGTAATCTGCGTTCGCGGGAATTCTATCTTGCGCGTGTTCGTATCCCGTCGGGGTCACGGGCCCAAGATAGTCTGGCTGCCCTGTCGGTGTATAGCTTCTCTCCATGGCAGATTCAGATTGCTTAGGCGCAAGGTGGTATGAGCTTTGCTGTGGAGAATAGGGTTGGGTTGGGTTTGGATAGGGCAGGTAAGGCTCTGATCCGGGGTTGTGTTGCTCTGATCCAGAGCTGTAGTACGACCCTTGGTTCCCATATGGCTGGTGGTGGCCATGTGCGGGCTGATCCTCAGGAGGGTAGTAGCCAAACCCGCTAGGCGCAGACGTTGAGTGTGAGTTGTAAGTGCCGTATGGATCTGCCATAGTGATGCGTCAAATAGGACAAAGAAAATCTGTCGCATGAAGAAAAAGAACACGAAAAGGGTTTTATACATCTAGGCATGTCAGACAGGTGACTTGTGAGGGGTCTATACACGGTGCGGCTGACCTGCCCACACGTCTCCGGAATGCATCTGCTATCCAATCAGGCACTGATCACTCACTTGTCTGCATATAGTGGAGGGGTACTTCTAAGGGCTTCTTTGTTTTTTTCTAGGAAAAAATAAGTTCGGCAACTGGTATTGTTTTGAGATCGCCAGGTTAACCTCGAATGACAAGATGTGAAAGAGACAAAACTGAATTTGGATGAGTCGGGGTATTCCGGTGAAAATCGAATAAAAGATAAGAAAGCATGATGCAAATAGAGCTGGCCGTTAGACGTTCAGGGTCACATCGCTCCCTAGGGCGACGGAAAAATGCAGAACAAGAACTTGCGCCAATCGGTGGCATCAAGACACAATACGAAAAGGAAAAAAGTCAAAGGTGAAAGGAAAGAATTAGGGCCAAAATTGATGCGCCCAGCACATTCAAAGCATCCTGGCCTTCATCGCCTTGCAAGGCAGACCGCCTATAAACACATGGTTATGGTTTTAAAGGTTCATACAGACTCGGTTACACTGGTGGACTCTGAATGCCACGAGTCGAGGTCGAGCTGTTAGCTCGCTGTGACATCCAGTTCACAAGCATGCCGTCAAGCTGATTATTCATCTCCTTGAGTCTCTTGCTTTCCTCCTTGAAGAGACGACCGGTGATGGGGTGGTCAGGGCCAGCGGGAGGTACATTTGATTTGTCATGGACAATAATAAACAAGTCGCGAATGTCATTTTCTTCGTCCATGTATGATCGTAGACTAGAGTCGCTCCACGTTGGGGTGTCCACAGAAAGAGTGTCGACTGAGGCGGGAGCAGCCGTGCTACCCTTGCAGTAATTGACGCCCTGTCCGGGTGATGATGGCGAAGACGGTGGCGAGAGAGAGCGAACTTCCTGAGGAGAGACATTGTTTGTTGAGTCGCGGGCGCTCACGGGGGAGTAAGCCTCCACGGGAGAAATATTGACAGGGGATTCCGATTCATCTCTAGCCACCAGCGTAGGGACGAATTTCTGGGGTGGAGATGTAACGGACGTGGATCCAATACAGCCTGCGTCATTGGGTTCTCTCCATTGGGCTTCACTAGATGGTCGATCAACAGGCGATTCCAAGGGGTCCTTGGAGTCGAGCGGACTAGCAAAGGGGTCTTTGGAAGCACTCGATTGGCTAATAGGCGATTGCAACACAATTTCGCAGTCTTCGTAGCTGCTTTCTCTTTCTTCCTGCAATGGCACCTGTCGAATACTTTTGCTGCCCTGACTCTGGTTGATGGCCTCGTTGCCCCCAGAGAACTCGGCCATCGTAGGGTCAAGGACTGGATCAACCTTCAAGATCCCTGGTGGCTGTTTGTGTAGCTTGTTGATCGAGTGTTTCTGCGGCTTGGATGGCCGCTGTTGTTCGGGGGACACAGACTTTGACGAGATAGAGTCCATCGAGGTCTTGGGTGATGGTGACGTGCGGGATGTCAATTCTACAGAAGACCTCTCTGGGTCTTCAGTGTCATCTTTGCTCTTCCTGCGCTTGAATAACCCGCTGAGCATTCCAGGTTTCTTTTCTTTTCGTCTCTTATCTTCCTTGTCTTTGAATTTGTCCTGTGGGTTAGAGCCCTTTTCGATCGACTCAAAGCTTCCACGAGGCTTCACCAAAACGTCAGCCAACTGATATTTGGTAAACACACGGTAGGAAACATACCTCTTTCCACTCAGCCAAGGTGTTTGTGCCGTTTTCATCGCGATTATCGCGCAGGAGATTTGGTGTGAGAGAAATCTTCTTGGGCTCGGCCGTGTCGTCATTGAAGAAGGAATCGGTGTTCCGTACAGTGCCATTTCTGGATCTACTGACAGTGGGTTCTGCTTGGTAGAAGTGAGTACCAAGTACGATTCGAGAGCAGTTGGAATGAGTGGGTTTACCTTCAGCCTCGAAGAGCTCTTCACTAGATGGGCGTCGATCAGAGCCTGAACGCTGCAAATTTCGTCTTTCTGAACCGTTGGCATTGGCATACTCTGTGAGGTTTTCTCTCCCGGATTTGGGCCTTAGAGGTTCCACAACAATATCTTCAGCTTGCTCTTGCCCATCTTCATCTTCTCCGTCCAGAGTCTCGTCATCGTTGAAAAAGTCGCCGTGTTCGGAATCTTCGTCTGTTGAGTATTCGACGTCGGAGGCTTCGATGTACGTCGGGGCCCCGAAGTTGACGGTCTTCGCATTTCGACGGCGCATGGCCTTCTTCAGAGGATTCTTTGACTTCTCATTATTGTCACCCAACATGGTCGCCGACAGATCTACGTTTCTGTGTTTATTCAATCTGGCAAGCCTTTCGGTTGGTGTTTCGATGTGTTCCGCAGGGAGGTAACCAATGCTGCCATCCTTCACCACGCGCACAAGCCACCAGTAGCTGTTGCTGTCGTCAAGAAGAACCATGGTATCACCCTTTGCTGCATTTGCTTGCCCATCGACCGTCGCGACAAAGTTATGAAGCGCATATACAAACTCAAAATCGATATCCTCTGTACAACATCAGCTAACGCCTGAAAATGGCCTGTCATTCCAGAGGATCCATACCATCATCGATAGATGGCGAACTGGAGATTTTATCCATCATGTCATCGTCCATCATATCGTCGCTTTCACCGTCTGCCAGGTCGCCATCTTCATGATCGTAGTGATTTTCATCCTCGTCATCTTCCTCGTCATCTGTTTCTCGATACACCTCCTTGTCACCGCGGTTTTTGTGATTTTTGTCTGATCCGCCCTTAATCTCCGCTTGTGAATCTTGTTCGGCATGACGAGTAGAAAGCTCTTGATGGGAAGCAGGCCGGCCGCTCCCAAGAGGATCTGGATGTTCGGATTGTTTGGTATGATCTTTGGCGGAAGGATTGTCTTCATCTTGGAGGTCCAAGGTATCTAGAGGTGGCGGTCAATACCCTGAACTTCGAGCCAATTGGCCTCGCACCCCAGAAGCATTTGACTCACCTGCTCGGACCATTTGAGGCCTAGTCATGTTGTAGTGTAAATGAGTGTGGTGTCGAGAGCAATGGGATTGAAACAAGTCGTGAGCGCAAGGAGTGACAAGCGACCCAGAAATGTGGATGTTGGAAGATAAGCGCGGGACAAAAGCAATGCGCGAGCCTTGAATTTCCTGTATCCAGATAAACACAGATGGTAGACAGTAAAGGAAAAAAAATTCGACAAGGAGTCGCGAGCACTTGGTGAATTGGTCTGAATGAGAGACAGTGCCTTGAATGAGAATGGTGGGGGCTGGTCTGCACTTCGGTCCAGCACGGAGGTCGACACAAGGGGGGGGGGAATAAACTACTGCCAGAGCGACAAGGGAAAAAAGAGAACAAGAAGAAAAAAGGGAATAAGGAGATGTCTGCCGAGGCGACGTCGAGTCTGAATAGTAACTCCTTTCACATAAAAGCCAAAAGGAGGTATTCCCAAACAAGCGCCCCTTGCGCGCGGTTAAACTAAGGCTTGACCCCTGAGCTCATATGCGAGCACACGGCCGACTGGCTAGAGTTTCTGTGGTAATAGTGGTCTTTGTATGTCTACTATGTTGTACGTTATGATAAAAGCATAAGGTTTTCTTCCAGGAAGTTAGGTTTTAGATCATATCTCATTCGGCACTCTATACAGACTACACGATACTGTGGAGAAACAATCAAAGTGATACACATGTAATAATTACCTAACGTGCCCCTATTTCCCGCTGCATGACCGTATGGGGAAATTAGGGCCAGGGTAGCCTTAAAGTCATGTGACTCAATCTTCTGATCATCATCCGAGTTTCCCCGGTTTTCCTTCTCCTCTCAGGTCTGGACTACTTGACTAATACTTCACTTTCTTTTCCTCTCTGACTACCCTTGTTGGTACCCGCCGTGTTTCATCTCGTCATTATTTTGTATCTTCAAGTTCAAAGCTCCTCACGACTTTCTTTACAACATATTTCCACCATATCAAACGTTCTGTCCCCACTTTTAACGCCATCACCCCCACAATCACAACATCTTCAACAGCCATCGGGAAGCATATCGAACAAAGCCAAGCAGAGTGCTATATAACCCTACTGCAAGCCTATTACGGGCTGACAATACGACAATTTCAGTCCCGTGCTACTCGTTAGGGCATGGCACATAGCGAGAGGGCCGGATTGGCAAGTGGATTGGCGGGGCTAAGGATTGAAACGAAATTCTATGAGCGGAACAGGCCTAAACGGGCGAATGAAAATACTGGGAGGAAAGCGACAACAGTGGGCGATGGTATCGAGAGCGATCACACCAATCAATCTCATAATTATGCGCGTCTCCGCGATACTGATGAAGACCGCAGTTTGATAAGTGATCCACACTCAGCGACCCCTCCCATATCCGTCCCTCGCCACGATGAGCAGCATCACGCAGACAGTACCGACAACTTCCCGCACAAGCCCGGTGATGTGCAGGGGTCCCCTCTCGACAACTACGACAGCTATCTGCACACTCGTCGACCTTCGATCTCGTTCAACCCGAAGGTCTCTGTAGACTCCGGCAACCAAATTCCATTGGAAGAGTCTCTGTCGATGGGAGAGGTGAAGCACCGTCCACCGCAAAAATTCGAGTCTCGTAGCTCCGGACTTCGGAATGCTCTTTCACAAGATGATGAGCATGTCAATCCGAACTACGAGTCCCCGAGCTGGAGTCCCAAACGATCTCTCGATCGGAGTTTCCCGACCGGGCTATCCCGAGCCCAGCCCTTTACGAGACTTGAGAATGACTCGACTACGGGCTCAGAGCTCGATCGTCCGACGTCCCTGACATCGCAGTCAACGGTATCCCCGGTCACGGACGAGGTACGAACCCCTCCCGATTATTCCAGCCACACGTTGCTGTCGCCATTTTGCGTACCGTCCCCATCTCAATCATTTGCATCGCCCGAAGACCGCAGCAGCTCTTGGTCTGGAGGGATCGCAACACCGTTCGGAAGCAAGCGGAGTTCTACCCTTGATCGCAGCAGCAGTCTTCGGAACTCCACACGACATAGTTCTCGAAGATCGACTAATTCGAGTGGCAAATCGCCTGCCAGCATGTTTCTTTCCATGTGGAACAACGTTGAAGAGCCTGCTCTCCAGCCTGATGACGAAGGCCAGATGGTTGGAGACGACTATGTCCTCGGAAAGCAAATCGGGTTTGGGGGGTTCAGTGTGGTTAAAGAGGCCTACAAGGCCGAAAGGCACGGTGAAACCAAAAGACTTGCCGTGAAGATCGTGAAAAAGCAGATTACAGGGCGAAGCGAACACGAAAACGACGAAGTGCAAGCCGAGTTTGATCATGAAGTGCGAGTCTGGCGGTATCTCAGCCACCCGCATGTCCTGACTCTCGATGCCGTGTACGAAACAGATTACGCCACGTTCTGTTTCACCAAACTTGCCATTGGTGGAACTCTCTTCGACCTAATCCGCCAAAATCGATCCGGTCTAGATACCCAATCGGCAAAGAAATATGCTTACCAACTAGCCTGTGCCATCCGTTACCTGCACGAAGATGCCCGCGTGGTTCACCGAGACATCAAGCTGGAGAACTGCTTGCTCGATCCTATTGGGTCTGCTGACGGCACGACATCTTCAAACTTGGTACTATGTGATTTCGGAATGGCAGAATGGATGTCCATCGATAACGGTGGCGACTCTCCCGATCCGTACGAGGATGCCGCTGACCGTCCGCCACCTCAGCAAATGGGCCCTGCGGGATCCAGTACCAGTGTTGCGGGTAGCTTGGAATATGCATCGCCTGAACTACTTCAATCAGTAGCTGGTGTTGTTCATCCTTCGGTTGACATCTGGGCCTTTGGCGTCATTGTCTATACCATCATCGTCGGCTCGCGGCCTTTCCAAGACTCTTTCGCTCCTCGCATCCAAGCAAATATTCTCAGCGGCACTTGGGATTGCAATGCCGTATTTGGTGACACTATGGACGGCCCCCTTCGCCAAGATCGTCAGTACGCTCTCGACCTGATCCGCGGGTGCCTAGAAATGGACCCCAAGAGGCGTTTGACTATCCGTAGTGTGCTAGCTTCGTCCTGGCTACGAGAGGTTCACGAGGCAGATGAACCTTCACCCGACACTGTGTGGAGACTATGAGATTTGCTCGTCTTTTCTTCCATTCAATTATTGGGAGCCCCATTTTATGCCCTTACACTTGGACTTCCAGGGAGATGAGACTTTTTCAACATCTTAACGTCCTACGATGTGGTGGCTCTCTTTCCCGGCGCTAAAGATCCAACAAGCGCAGATGCTCTCGGGAGCCTTTTAAATCACTATGATACCCCCGGTTTTGCTTTACTTTTTCTAAATTTTTTTTGGGATTTTTTTTTCGCTCTGCTGCGGCTCAAGAGTGTCAGCATGTGTCTTTTCTTTTTGTGTTTTTCCACAATCTATTCTCACTGTCCTCCCTCGCAGCGTGTTCTTGATTTTTGCTTTTTCGTTTTGTGTGGTTCTGGGTTAGGCTTTGATCTCATGAGACGGACGATTATGATTTACTCTTGTAGCAGACGTGGCGTTTTACCTCATTCTTGCCATTTGGCCGGACTTTGCATGAGCTTTCGTTGCTTAGGTTATTTGTTTTGTGTGGTCTACTTAGCTCGATCACTTGCTTCAACTGGGTGTACTTTTATATCTGCGGATCTTTGATTACTCTGTACTGATCTTGCTTTGTCTTCTGTCCTCTATTTGAAAGGTGTGATGAGATATCTGATTTCAGTAAATTATCAAGCTATGTTATCCATTCTGCAATTTGCATAAACAGTCGTCCGCCCGTGCGGCCTCTATTCTTGACGACGTAGGTCTGAATAGTCTGACCTATTTGGCCCAAGGTGATGCTGGCAACTTTTAATTTGAGAATATTTTTCGATATCGTCTTTGGATCTGCTTTTAAGATGTTTCTTTTGTCTTTGGTGTTTAAATATTAGATAAAGTGTAGCAGAACTATTACCATGTAGGAACCCTCACAACCTTTCCATGTCAAACCAGGGATTTATTTCCACGAACCTCGAGGTGGCCATAGGGCATTCCGTTATGTGGAAGAACTTTGGGTCAACAGGAATGAAGAAAAAGGCCGAGAAGCATCTAATTGAAAAGCCTAACAAATCCAACAAAACTTATTTATACATCGACAGTGGACCAGTCTAAACCAGCCTTAAAAGAACAGTGCCAAACAAACGAACAACCAGTGATCAAGTATGAGATACTCCCCTAACCCTCTCAAATCTACCAAAGCCTATTCTCGGGTAGAACCTTCTCCTTCTTAACACCAGCAGTAGACTTCCTCTCCTCGGAAGAGCGGAAGAACAGACTAGGCCCCTCAAGCGGCTTAAGCAGATGCGCAAGATATCCCCGATGCGCCGGATCACGGTAATACTCAATGTCCTTACGTTTCGTCGGATCAGGGAGCCTGAACTTCAACTGCCGGTTGTTCACCACAGTACTCCACTTCATCCAGGGCGCCGTAGGCCGAACCCCAGCGAGTTTGTAGAGCTGCTCGGAACCACTCTCGCGCGCCCACGCAGTAGACAAGAAACTGTGCGTCTCACCATCCAGGATACGACGGATCGACGGCCGCGTGTAGTAGCGGGTAGTCACTGAGCCACCGGCGCCTTCGATGGCCGCGATGGCGGAGGCGGAGGCGCGCGACGCAACGACGTGGATTGGCTGTTTAAGGGCTTCTGCACCGTCGCCGAGGATCTTTAGGCCGTCGATAGGTCGGCTGATGCACCCGCTCTTGTAGAGCTCTTTCATTGTGATCGGGAGTTTGGGATTGATGCGGCCTTGGTCGATCCAGTGTTGAAGACGGTCCAGGTTGACGGTTGCCATGTCGACGGAGAAGCTGGGGTTGAAGAAAAGAGATGATGAGACGTTTGATTTTGGGGGTTGGGGGGTTATTGACAAAGGAGGACCACGTACATGTTGACACCGCCGCGCTCGCCGTGCACGATGATATCCTTGGTCTGACCACCATTGAAACCTGCTGGGACTTTGCCGTGCTGACCTTGACCCTTGTGACCGCGACCGGAGGTCTTACCTTTGCCTGAGGCGGGACCGCGGCCTCGACGGATGCGCTTGTTGTATGCAGTCGGGTTGTCGGAGAGAGAGGCTAGGATGGAAGCATTGCGGGTTTGCTGGGATTGTGGGAAGAGAAAGGCAAGGGGGGACGCCTGTTGAAAGGACCGGGCGGAAAATTGTGCCAGCTGTGTGGGCAGCCCCATCAGCCGGGGAGACATGGTGTGTGATTCTGGGTTTGGACTCGCTGGTGTTGGATTCGCGGGTTTGGTAGTGAGTTTCGAGATCTTTGTCGGTGCGGATTATGCTTGATCCGATTCCGAGATGGCCACCTGGGCACCCAGGGTTCTTTCTTTAGAGATACCAGCCATTTTAACGAATTAATGGAGCTTACGTTCATTACGTCCCGTGTTTTCCAATGTTGGTCGATGTTGATTCAAACGATAGGGTGACTTGGTTTTTGTACGTTTCAACTCAAGCCCTTTGAACTAAGTATTTGGCTACCTCCGCAAAACACTAGGTAAAACTTTGCATTGAAAAATTTGGAGGTTTCAACAAACAGTAAAAAACCAGTTGGTAAATCTAAATTCATATGCTGCAGAGTTAAAGCTAATTCTGCTCAAGTTAAAACGCCGTATGTATGCAAAGTGCGTTAGGAGCAGCGCACTGCCGATGTGCTTTCAAGCACATTCGACGAACCTAGGCGACGTTAAAGTCAACAATGACGCCGCACATGCCATCCCCGAGGATAATCCCGTCTGCAGGGGGGGGGGGCGGCGAAAACCGATTTCCTTCTAAAATGAAGCGCCGAAGATATGCCAAACACAATCGTGAAAAAGAAGAAGTCTGTACAGTCGAAAGCGTAAGACAAGCAAGAGAAGAGGGTAGCAAGGTGTACAGCGAATGAGATAACTTTTTCTCGTGTGACGGGTCGTGGCGCGGTAAAGTCATGAACTCAGGATGTGAGGATGAACTCAGGATATGAGAAGGGAAAAACAAGGGTACAGAATGCTTCAACTAGGGTAACCAGCGGGTGGGTAGATAGGATGCATATAAGGAGCTTGGTTCCACGCATCAGGCTGGATGTAGGGCAGCAGGCCGGTCTTGCGAGAAGTGTTACCCTTTCCAAGCGGCTGGTAGTGCATGTGATCAAAGGGAACATTGCGTTGCTGCTGTAGGGAGCTTGACGAAGGTGGAATCAACAAAGTGTTGACGGAACGCACTGGCCGGTAAGGCGAGTTGCGGTTGGCGAGGAAGAAGGAAGGAGAGAGGTGTGTCTGCGGAGTGTGGACGGAGTAAGCTGAGCCAGCGGGCGATACGGTGGCAGAAGACACCCCAAATGAGTTCTGGTGGTACCGGCCTAGTTCTGGCAGTGAAGGGGCGGTGTACATGCTAGATGACATCGGGGGTACGGAGAGAGGAGGCATCTGCTGCCAATTCGCCGGTCGATTGTAGATAGGAGGCATAATAGCTGGCAGGTGGGAAGATGCCGTGGGAGGGAGCGTCTGAGGCGCCGAATAGGAATTTGAAAGAGGAGCCGGATGGTGAGGAAGCGGAAGGCGAGCAACGGTTGTTGGAGCCACGGGGGCAGAAGTGGGAGTCAAGACGGGTGGCAGGGTGGGCAACGTATTCATGGCAGCCACCGGGGCCGTCATCGACGGAGCAGGTGTGGCGGAAGATAAGGCAAGCCGCTTGGTGGGATGAAGTTCATCGTTCTCATCGCGACTTCGTTTCCGAGGACCACCCATTGCTGCCTCGCCACCTAAGTGTTGTGGCGGCAGTGAGTATGGCAATCCATTAGGTGGCATGTACCAGTTGGGCGGCGGCTGAGATCGGAAGGCATCGGTACTAGGTGACGGCAACTTGGACGAGGGCGACTTTGATTGCACACGGGGAGGCGAAACACGAAGCATCGCGGCCTGGTTGAAGTAGTCTCCAAAGAGGCCTAGCTTGGTATGCCACCGGGACCATTCGGCCTCGGAGGAGAACAAATCATAGCGAATGTTGCTCAAAAACTCAACTTCCATTATATGAATCTCTTGCACCGCAATACCCGATACCTCAGCCCACGTCTTATTGGTGTAAGTGTTATCGTCGAGGTCTGTGGATGAGTCAGTTCATCTGTCCAATCAAGTCGAAGGCGGTGAGTCCGATAAGAATACTCACATTTATTGCCGAGCATCAACGCAACCGTCATCAACCGGAACTCGCTGCCTTTCTTACCCTTGACCCCAGAGTTGAATTTCTTCAAACGGTAGATAAACAAAAGTGCCAATAGAATGACGTTCTGGCTGACTTGTGTCGTGGAGAGAATCGAGGCAACCCATTTCTGGAATCCGACGGTGGGGACAGCTTCGGCGACGAGAGAAGGAACGGGATGTTGGCGGTCTTCGATAGCTTGCAGTTTCGAGGTCTTTTCGAACCAGAATAAACACGTCATCTAGAAGTGAAAGACAAAAGTCAGCTCACGTCATGAACACGCTCCTGTGTAGACCGGGGAATTCTCACCTGAGCTGCAAACTCGGCCAGACTGCCTTTGCTGTTGTTGATGGATGAAGGAATGCGGAGTTGCGATCCAGTCCCACCAGTTGACTTCTTCTGAGCAGTTGGTTCCGTTGCGCAGGCTTCTTTGGTCGCAGCGTGGCTTTGCGGTTTGATGGCCATCATGGAGGAGATGGAGTCGAACTGGGAGCGCGAATGACTGTAGAGGTGAGAGGAGACCCCGTTCGGTTTCCCCCCATATGCGATAGGTGGCATGGCATTGTAAGTGAGGCCTGCCATATCGAGAGGAGGGGTGGGTAGACCGTTCCGAATGGGAACTGTCCGAGAGAATTCCGCGGTTTGGCTCTCAAGGGCCTTCGGCGGGTGATCCTCAGTCAGGTCGATGGTTGGAACTCCCAGTGTCGGAAAGGATGAATAGAAGTCCACAGTGGAAGACATAAGGAAAGTGTGAGTGATGGAAAGAGAGGTCGACGCATGGAGTTTTGTGTCTTTTCTTTTTTTTTCAAAGGCGTCGGTGGAGAGAGAACCGAGGAGTTTCAGTAACCCATGTTCTTTAAAGGTGAGAGTAGAGCCAAGCAATGGACGATGAGTGAATTGCCCAATTGGAATGCAACCAAGGAGGGAAGGGCGAACAGAGATGCTTTGTTCAAAGTGAGGGAAAAGTGAATATAGACCTTTGACAGGGAGTTTCAATGATGTATATAGAGTAGCCACGATAGGCCCATATAAGGAAAGTAGCGATAATCCAGAGAGATCCAGCTGCTCCACTCAGAGTTGAGGAAAGAGAAAAAAAAATGTGAAAAATGCAAGAAAATAATCAAAAATAATCAAAAAGAATTAAAAAATAAATTTGTAGTCAAGGCATCATCATCTCCATTGAACCAAGTCCACAGACCCCATCCGGAGAAAGCGATAGTGGCCATACACAGAGTTTGACCCGGACGCAGGTCCAGGTTGATCCTCCTTTCTGAGCTCGTTTGGGTACCGGGTTTAGTCAATCTAGATTTGGAATAATTCAAATTCTATCCAATAAGGTAGCAAGGTAGCAAGGTAACAAGGTAACGAATTAATCAAAGTGAAAATACCGGTTGATGTCAGAGCCACGGGGTGGTCAACGAGTGGATGCAACTAAAAAGGGTAGGTCACAGAATGTTTACCTGGTTCCGGCCTCACATTTGCAGTAAAAATGACCACAGTTCACTGAGCGTAGGACTAGTGAAAGCAAAAAGAAAGGAAGCCCCCCAAAAATTCAAAAAGAAATGCAAAACCCAAATCAAGCTGGAAATCAAGTTGGAAATCAAAAGAGAGAAGGGAGGTTCAATCCTGAGACCCATATCAGATCCAGTAATAAGTCGGGTTTAGCGTCAATAAATTACCAAACCATGTTATGCGAGGTGAAGGGCTGTGAGGGTGCGCAAGCATGTAGGTACGCCTCCGTCCTGCAAAGAAAAAAAAAGGGCTAAAAAAAGGGCTAGGGAGGGGGGGGGGGGTTACCGGGGAAGCGCGGGGCCTAGGGAGGTTTGAGCACGGTGGCTGGGTAGTCGGGTATACGGAGTACATAGCATAGGAAAGGCAAAAGGAATGAACCAAAAAGTATCAGAAAAAGAAAAAAGAAAAGAAACCAAAGGGGAAAAGAAGATCAATTACGGAGTACGGAGTACTTGGTTTAGGAGAGACCAAAGGGAAGATCGGGAGGTTCGGTAAGAATGGTGCATTCTTATGTAAGAAGGCAAAATTACTGAGACAATGACCAATCAGAGAGAAAAAAATTACAACATACACGTATACCCGTATACACGTATACTCTGCTCCGTACAAATCCAATGGTCCACTGAAAAAGTCTCAGGCCAAATTTCTCTTTTCTCTTTTCGGTTTTTTTCGGTCTTTCATTTTTTGGGGCTAATTTATCCCGTGAATATCCCGTGTACGACCGGTCCATGGGCTTTGTTTTAATCTGCTTCCAGTATCACACACTCTGCTCGCGTACTCCCCGACTTGTTAGCCGCTGCCAAACAGTCATTGGTTCATTCCCATGTTCTGGGTTTTATGGATGGGTTCGGAGACACCTAATTATCTGGCATGTTCGCATCTTTTTCGTGTTCGAAAGTCTTGGGCTCATCCCGCGTCTCCCCTGCAGCCCACTGTTCCGGACGACCTTCCTGTTTACGATTCAGGGGGGAATCTCATCATAATTACAGGATTCTATCCCAGTGATGGACCAATTTGATAGTTCAGGAGCCTCGGGGGAGGGCCGGAATTCCGTTGTTTGATTCGTCCGGCTTTTATGCACTGGACTTCCCCAAGGTATTTTTACAGCCTCCTACAGGTTGGTCACCCATAAACCCTACTTTAGTGCAAAGTACTGGTACCTCTGTCGGTATTTATGTCCCGTCCCAATGCCCCTGTCTTGAGCCGGGCCTGGGGGTGGTATACAACACACATCTGCCGGGACTGTTGCCTCCAGTGGGAAGAATTCGCTGTTTCACCCAGAACATTGTTTGACTTAACTAGACGGGACCAGCCTCACGTAAGGCGGCATGTAGTTGCACTTGTGAACTTGTGATCTAGTGCAGTAGGCTAGAAAGCCGAAAGTGCAACGGGCCCAGATCGGCTGGTGGAATTGGAATCCATCGGTCACTCGTGGCGTCCCAACGGTCATCCCTTTGAAAGGCTGAGATGAATGTGCCCAGAACCGTGAAATTTGCTCACTCCCAACTGTTACAGATTTACTGACATCCTGGTGCCATGACATAGGTGGTCTCTTTCACAGTAAGCACACCCTGAGCACACACCATTTAGTAGGCACCAGATGTCTCCCCCTAGATGCATGCAAAGGGCATACAACGTATTGAACCACTTGAATCTTCAGAAACCTTCATCCCCAGATGATCATCGGACTCTCAAAAGACATTTGGGTCTATCACACCACCAGTTCACGCCCGAAACCAGGCAACTTGGGTAACCTCCAAACTTGACTAGTACGATCCAAGTGTGCTATTTTAGTGGCAAAACGGTCAAGCTGAGAACCAGGTGTCGGGGTTACCAAATCGTGGACTTCCATTAAAAAAAAAATCCCAGTTGATCGGGGCGAATTTTTTTTTTAAAAAAAGAAATCTCTCTCCGTCTCTCTCTCTCTCTCTCTCTCTCTCTCTC